ATATATATATTCAATATAAAACTAAAAAGGAAAAAAAAAAGTTAAATTGAAGGGATGAGAAATTAAGAAAATAATTATTCTAAATTATATAGAGATTATTAATTTAAAAAGACTTCTTCCTAAAATTAATGATATACTTAGATGAACGATATTTTATTATTATTATTATTATTATTATTATTTCGGTGTGAAGATAAACGTTACATCAAATGTGATTATTATGATGACTTGTAAGTAGACGGAACCAACAAAAAAGAGTAAATATAATGATCATTCAGCATAGCAAAGGATTAACATTCTACAACCTTTCGTTATTCCTTTAATCCATTGAACTTTCCGCACTCTTATCTAGTTTTTTATTTTGTGTGTTTTACAAATTACTATATCATTAGAGAATTAGCGACAAAAAGCTACTTAAAAAAAGCAATATTTTTTTCTTATTAATGTGTAGTTTGTCTAAATCTAACATCTTCGTTCTCTTTCTTGAACCACAAAACAATGAATGCTCTCAATAATCTAACTTTAATCCTCACATTTTGCATCATCTCATTTTCTGCCCTCTCACAAACAATGCCAAAAGCTACTCATCCTCAAGCCATCAAATCTTCCAACTTCAATCAAACCCAACAAGTAAGAAATTTTCATATGCTCGCAAATATTAACATATATACAGTAGCTTTTCATTGATGACCCTTTTATGTATAATGTATAATAACTTATTAGTTACTCACTCTCTATGTTCTCTATTATAAGTAAGAAATAAATAATTTTATGTATATTCAAAAAATTATTTATCTGTATTAAATTTTACTAATTTTATACCATTCTTCTTAAATTATTCTTATTATAAATGTCAAAAGAAATAGTGTAACTGAAAGGTCATATATTAAAGGAAAGAATACCATTAAATGAGATGAAAATAATTAAAATTTGTTTATATTTAAGAGAAAAAAAATGTTTTTTTTATTATAATAGAGAAGAGAGAAAATGTAATATGAACTAATTGTATTAATTGATAGAAAGAACATACATAAAAGGGGTACTCAGATTTCAACTGAAGCACTTTCAAATCTTCTCGCATATGAAATTAAATGTTACATGTATTGTATATGCAACATGCAGATAAATGGAGATTGTAGGTACAGTGTCACCATGAAGACAAGTTGTAGTTCTACTTTCTACGTGAGAGGGCAAATAGATCTTTTATTTGGCGACATCTATGGCCGTCAGGTCCATAATCATATACATGTTTCTCTCTGCTCTTAAATTTTTTTGTTCACAACTCAAAGTGAAATTGACCTAATAAAAAATGCATATCTATATAATGAGTAATTGATATTTTGGTTTGTGACTTTGGTTTATAATCAGGTATATGTTCCACGATTGGATGGTCCTTTGGATTGCTCTCTGAATGAATATGAGGTATATGGACCATGCATCTCACTAATTTGTCATTTGAACCTACACATCACTGGAGACACTGATTTGATTCTGGAGACAGTGAGCATATATGACTACCTCCATGATCCTGTTACATTTTACTTCGACACATATATTGATGATGGTGGTCCCTATGATTTTAACTATTGTCATGATTATTAGTACAACGTTATCAAATACTATTGTATTAATTGTGAGAAGAGGTGAGTACAACTTTTGGAGATTAGGATACCCTAGTTTAAAAATTTACTAAATAAAATAGACAAATGTTTTTTAATTTTGAATTATCTAGTTAAAAAAAAGTGTTAAGTTTCTTGTTTTTTAACTTAACTGCGTTGATTCTCTCAGAAAAAAAAACGTAGTTGATTTACGAAAATAGATATATATTTATCTATCAAAATGAAACTTACTCCTAAGATTTACAAAAACTCATATACTCTTCTTATAAAGTAGTACTTAAATAATTATTCTGCTCAATAATATTTTACCGAATACAAATCTAACTATTTAATTATAATCATCACGATTATATCCTTAAGTACAAACTGAATTTACACTTCTTCAATTTATGAAGTGTAAAACTTACGTCTATGACTTAATTTAACATAATTTATTGTTCTTTATTTATTTATTTTTAATTTTGAAATATAAACTATTGATTAAATCTTTGTAGAAGTTTTATAATCAAGTGATTATAATTTTTTATAATCCAACCTGGTTAGCAATATGAATGATTTCAAATAGGATTCAAGCAATTTTGATATTATAAAACTTCTTTGACGGTGTCAAGAATTAGAGATATTTTTTTTTGTTTTTTTACAACAGAACTAGAAAGATTGTTAATAATATTTTATAAGTAATACTTGTATTTAAAAAATTACACAAGCTTTGGTACCATTTTAATATTTCTAATGGGATATTAATATTGTTTTTTTGTTAACATTTTCTTCGATACCCATGTTTTCCAACGCGAAACGTATCCACCTGTTTCGTTACTGTTGCCGCAATTCACGGAATGTTATGTTATGTTAGGTTGGATGAAAAGAAAATACAAAGAGCATCGTTACAGCCTTTTTTGCATGCAGCCACGTAATATGTAACTGACCTGTCCTCCAAAAATCTCAGCCACCAAAAACGGAGGTCGAAAAACGCTCTAAATATTAAAAAATTATTATTTTTTAATAAATTTATTATAAAATAATTATTTTATAATAAATTTATTAAAAAATAATAATCTTTTAATTATTCGAACAATTTTTCGGCCTATATTAGATATAGTATTTTCCAAATACAAATAACATGTATATTCTTTTAATTTGTTGAAGAGAAAAAGAAAATTGACTTTATACTATCCTTTCAATTTTCCATCATTTTGATTTTAATTTGTTTTCTCCCCTCTCCACTTTCTTTTCTTCATTCATTAATCCCGCATCAGTTAAATAAAACGTGTTATTTAACGTAAATTTCAAAAGCTAAAGAAATAGCTTGTGTTGACCGTGAAATTGATGCAGTGTACTGTGTACGTGCAATGCTGAATGATAACCAAACACACACTATTGCTGCAGCTACGTTGCAATAACGCACTATTCTCCATCGGCTATGTGAACTAGACTAGTTAATAGATTCAACGAATAATGTTCTTACAATAACTTTTTCAGACATTTATGGTGCATTTGATTTTTATAAAGTATCATAAAATTCATCATACAGAAAAAAAGTTAAAAAGTAAAAACCAGTTTAATGCTATAACCAAAAATTTAATTATTCTCTTTGTATTTTAATTTCATAAACTTAAATTATTACTTCTTACAATTAAAAATATTTCATTTTAATTTCTATACATATTTACGATAAACTTTATTTTTTAGTCTTTATAAAAGTAAACTGATAACAAATCTTCATTTAGAGACGAGTGGATGGTACTCCCACCAAAATAACGAAAACAATGAAAAAGAGCGTGGTATTTTTTTATAGCAAAATAGGAGGGCTTGAAACTTGAAAGTAATGTTCTTATTAATACAAAGTGAACAGTATATTAGCAACAGCTAAAACAAAAATAGAAGAGGTTATGAGAATATTGACAACCAGTGTATTTCCTTTTTCTGATCCACCAGCAGACTTTACATGTGTTATGCCACTCAAAACCTTTAACCAAACACATTCTGTTGCCTTCTTTCAAGAATTCAAAGGTTAACTACAATTGCCATCGCATAATTTACTTTCACAACCTCTGCGCAACTCTCTCATACAAATCACGAGGCCAATTCCTCTTTAAATTATTTGCGATAAAACTCGCAATCTGCAAAAATAAAAATAAAAACATTTAGCCATTATGAAACAAGAGCAGATCCCATCAGACACCAAATATAAAAGCTTGACATAATCAGCTGAAAGTATAAATTTAGAACTACAACAGATAGATTGTTAAAAGGCTCTACCACTGACAAGGAAGCTTCATAAAGTGCTGGTATATGTTATACAAAAATCAGAAAACAGAACAAAAGAGTATTAACTACAACAAAATGGATTAAGGGCAGAGGATAGCTATTAAATGTAGTTGTCACATAAAAAAATGAACATAGATTCGTATTAACATGTTAAGACTAATTTCTAGGAAAGCTTCAAGATATGGGTTATATTTTCAATGACCATAGATTTTACAATACCATATGAAAGGCGTAAACTCATTAGTTCTGTGAATACTCCCGACACATCAATTTCGAAAAGCAATAGTGAATTACGGTATTTCAACAAAAGCAAATAGAGCAAGGATATAGCCCAACCAAAGAACGGGATCTATGAGATAATACCTTGGCCCTTAAGGCACGAAGTGATCCATCAGAGTCTGTCACATTGTCCAGACAAGTGAGAGCAGCCTTCAAAAGATCTGGAATACAAGCTTGGACATGAGGGGATAAATTTTCAAACACGTCACCAGCAATATCAGGTCCTCGGGGATCTAGAGGAAGAAATGGAAGCTTAGCAACTTCCCTTAATGCATCAACATAATGCCCCACTCTTGCTAATTTGTGAATTGACAATATTGACTCTAGTTGTCGTAACACAGTTTGCTGCTCAAAAACGTGATCTCTCTCTTGAAGACTGTAAAAAAGAACTCAATCAATCAATCATTTTACTAAAGAATGGAATGGTACTATGTTACATAGAAAGAATAATAATTAATTTGTATAGTTGAATTTTATAGAATTCTCATTGAAGAGCCAAAATCCAAATGCTAGGGTCTCCAATACATTAAAATGCAGCGTCTTCAACATCTAAAATCATTGAGTTGCAGCAACACAAGCATTAGTCAGGCATATTGGAATTTCCAAGTCCGACTTCTTAAGAATACCAAACACCTAACAAAAACTACACACCCATGGAATCAGAAAACCAAATCCTACATGTAGTACATCCTATTTACCAGACTATCATCCCTCTGCAGCATCTGGACTTCCCATAATGCAGAAGAAAGCATTTGAGGTCACTCCACAATAAAAGATGAGTGTAAAGTTAAAAATATTTCAGGGTGAAATCATCACAGAATAAGTTATAAACATGCCTCTAGGGTTCATACATTTCAAAGAATAAGAAGAAATAGAAGCATATCAATATCACAGAGCCATATCCGAAAACGAGGAAATAAGCAGGAGCTTCAATTACCTGACATCTGGGTAATAAGTGTATGTCTCCAAAATTTCATTGCCAGAATGGATGAGGCCAGCAGTCTGACTCTCACCATCTAATCTTCCACGGAAAAGGGAACAAATAGCTTCAGAGAGGCACCTATTGATGGTATCCAGTGCCATTGAGAAGGAACCCACTCTCTTCTGAATTTCTATAGACTGAAGCAAAAACATCGGGTATTGGTAAAACCAATATTAAGGTCAGATGAAAAGCCAGAAATCCACAAAAGATTTGTAACAAGGCAAAGAGAGGTAATGAAAACCGGATGATAGAAAAGTAAGAATAACACTATTGGTAAGATAAATCTACGAGTATAGACAAAAAACAAGAAATATAATTACAATTTATATGAAATCACATATTAAACATTGAAAATAAATGAGTGAACAATATCTCTGAATGCATTAAAGAATAATTTATCTTTTCACCAGAAAAAAAGGAAGGCTAAGAGGTCAAATCAAAATGTGATCTAAAATCGGAATGGATCCCCACTCTAGCTACCTCTAGAACCTGATTGTGTTGTGTAAGATACTCCTTATCAACCACGTAATGTTATAATTTGTAATGGATCTCTTCTATTTTCACCCTAAATTAAAACAGTAATATATTTTTTGTTTCAATTTAAAACAGTAATATAAGAAAGAAAGAAATTACCTTGTCATACATCCCAGCCTCTTGACACTGACATGCAGCTTCAATTAAAAATTGTTGTCTTGCATTGGGATCAGTCACAAAACGTCCCAATTCACCTTCTTCTCCAGCACCTCTTGCACCAAGTAAAAGATATATGCCTCCATCCCTTAACAATAATTCAGTTAGAAGCTGCTTCAGCATCAAATTTCTCTGCCTTTGCTGATCAACATTACCCCTACCAGTCCATGACAACTGCCCCCCACCCACTGCTGCAGCAGCTTGTGCGTAATATTCTAGTGCCATTTGGAGATCACCAAGACGCAAATACATAGATCCATACTGCCTGATAATGGTGGACACTTCTGCATAAGCATCCATCACTCCCAACTTTTGCCCAGAACCAGCACCTTCAGAAAGGACCCCATGGTCAGCTAGCACGATTGATAGGTGGGCAGCATCAATGTTATATCCTTCATCACCCGCTTCCTTAGACAAGTACAATATGGCTGGAAGCAATTGAATGCTTAAAAGCAAGATATAGGGATAAACCAGAGGATCTTTTCCATTCTTTGTATAATATGAGGGCTCAAATTTATTCAGGTAAATTTGTAAATCATCCAAACTGTAAGGAATCAGACCATCACTTAGAACAATGGATGAAGGTCCACTAGAACAATCCCGCACAGCTGACAATTTGAACCACAAGAAATCCTCTATTGTACTAAAGAGATTTGGCTGATCTCTAAGCAGGCGATCAATATGCCTTCGAGAACCTGATATGATGGCATACAGAAGTAACTTTTTCTTGTCATATGCAGTTCGACCTACCCGGTCACCAGTTCTCAACATTCTTTCGCATTCCTCTGATGCAGCAGCTGCAACCTCTTCTGGCACCATCCCTCCAGTATTAATCCACTCTGTGAGCTGTCAGAAACAAGTAAATTATTAAGAAATAATACATCATAAATTAGTAAATAAGAAGTGACTGCAGTATGTACCAAAGGAGAAAATTGATGCGAAGCACGTGAAGATAGGGCTACATTTCTTGCTTCATCATAATAACCAGACCTCAGGCAAAAATATATCTGTCACAAAAATTAATTAATCAATAAGTAAATAAACAAAATAGTGCATGATTGGCTCATCATCAGTATTAATTTCAACAAACAAAAAGGAATTAGATATTATCAGTGAACAGAGTCAAGCCAAGGAAAAAAAATATAGCAAAGATAACAAGTCTTTAGTATAGCTAGTTTTATAATCAGATAAAGTATCTGAGACCTGCTGCCATGTGGTATCAACAGGAGGCTGCCGCCGAGCATCACCAGCATCAAAATCCAGTACTCCATAATCCCTCAACCGAATCTACTCAGCAATAATTAAAATCAGGGACCTTTCAAAAAAAAATAAATGTATGGCATTATTTATAATACACATTTTTCAAATTCAAACAAACCCGAAGGAAGGCATGGATTCTTTGCAAATTCCCAACTCCACCACCAAGAGCAGCCTACCATAAGATAAAAAAGCAAGAAGAAATTAAGTGTTGATAACAAATACAAATTCCTGTATGCTCTCTATCTTGTATGAATAAAGAACGGAAGACACAAAAAATGAGAAGCTTGCAAAGCATTTCACTATTTGTCGAAGCATATCCCTCAAAAGCATAGCATGCAATCGCAGGGAGTCGACAGTCAAGAAAGGCAGAATTAACGATCTAAAAAAATAGGTAACATTACTAGAAAAATTATCTCCAGACAACATTAGTAGTACTAGTACAGAAATCCTGAATAACAAATTACTTGAGCAGGATGACTTTGTATGGTATCCATTATGTGCTTCTCATGTCCCCATTCAAGGTGGCGTCTTGCACCAATAACCAATGACATCCTTTTTGAAACACGTTGCGGGGTTGAGTCCTCACCCATCAGCATCTGTTTCAATAAGCAAAGTTATAGAGAATAAATAAAATATTTACTTTGCCACAGGTAGAAGCAATAAAGGTGCATGCACAAGTTTTTCTTCCTGTTTTGTCTTAAACATAATAACAGTATACAACAACCTGAACAAGGTGCCATATCTTTCGCATCGTTACTGATTTTCCACCACTAGCATCAATGCCCAAATTTTCATATGCACCCTTGAAAGCTGCAGCAGGCTATGAACCATGAAAAAAATAATTAAAATTAACATACAAGAATGTATTTCCGGAAGATATTACAACAAAAATCTGAACATATAATGTGCTATTGTTTATCCAAAATGAAGAATAGACATGATATTGCATTAAAAGTTCAAAACATTAGTTTCAAGCCAATTAATATGTTGAACACAAAGGCATAACTTTTAAACTGGTAAAACGACACAGTTTTCAATCTAATATAGAAATCTCACTATATATTTATGAGATGGAGAAAGCAGGGGACATACTTTAAATGGTAACCCAGACTCCCTTGCTCTATTCAGAGTCTTCACCACCTCAGCATAGACAGATGCCTTTTTCTCCACAATAGGTCTTCCTGTCAGAGGAACAATCTCCATGCTAGGCATACCAGATGAGACTTGTGGAGTAGAAGACACAGACGCAATCTGACCTGGGAGGGTACCCACACTGCTGTTAGCAGCAATGTTTGTCCTAGGTAATGTTGAAATTCGACTTAAACTCTGAAGGAAATCACGCTTTTCTTTTTGCCAATCCTCCTGTCAAACAGTAAATTATATTGACAGTAAGGAAGGTGAGCCACACAATAACAAGAAACCTATCTTAAAATATAAGAATGGAGTAGAATACTCATCCCAATTAAAAAACTGCAAATATGAAATAAAATTATTTACTCACTGCACTATGCTACTTCATTTCATATGTGAAGTTCCACATATTAACCTATGCAGGTTCAATAGAAAGCAATCAGCTAATAGGGATGCTTTGGTTTGTGAAAGTTAAGCAGGTCAGCAGAGCTAATTGTCATTGTTAAGAGTTGAGACTGTTAGAAACTATTAAGTTGCACAAGTTAAACAGAACTATTTATTTTTCCTGGTCCTTTTGTCTAGAAAATGAGAAATTTTTCACAGAAGAATCAATAAGAATTACAAAGGTTAGCAATAATAAGAATTAACAAAGACACAGATATAAAACATAAAAAAAAAATAAACAATCTTTTTAATATAATAAATCTACTCAATCCCTTTGTCATAATCAAGTCCTATTCAAGGCATTTTACTAGGACTTAACAAATAAAAGAAAAGAAAATAATCAAAATATAACTATATAGGACAGACTTATTATTTTCACCAAGGCAAGGGAAATACAAGAACAAATCATGTATGCAAAAAAATGGTTTACCAATACTATCCCAAGGATTCTTATGTTGGTAGTTTTATGAACATACGTTATCCAAGGCATATTACAAATTGCCATGATTACACTAACCTCTAAAACTTTCATCATGTAATCACTGAAACTCCTGAGATTATCCTTTTGAGCTTCCTGAACAGCAGAGACCATTGCCATTTCATGAACCTGAGAAGAAAACACAGTACACAATATTGTCGCAATTCCATTCAAAAAGGACCAGGTGTGCAGAGTAAGAAGATTTTCTTGGTTTTCCATAACAAGTAACAGAGCTTCACATACAAACTTAATAATTTTGCTTATAGAAATAAATCAAAGGGGGCAACAGACACAAACAGCATTTAGATATAACAACCATGCCACAATACCAAGCTCATCCGTGAAAAGTAAAAACTACATAAAAATGAAAACAAATAATAATGCAATGAAAGAATTCAAAAACAGAATTCTTACATCATATAGGAACAAATATTTCTCACTGTTTTTGTGGACATTGGACAGAGAAAATGTAAACGAAAAATAGAGCATATAGTATCTCACACTGATAAAAGTGATCCAAATTGAATTATTCTAATGCCTAATTGTTAATTAAATGTTACAATAAATCCAAGATGAATAGTAGGCAATCTAAAAAGTGAAAATTACCTGCTGCAGATACTCTTCAACACTTGTAGCCTCAACAGGAAAAACATCCTCAAAAGCTGTCTTCAAAGGGGGAAAAAGACAAAATGTACGCATAAGCAATATAGTAGCCATATGAATTAAGTAACAGAAAGAACCACAGCAAACAACTTGACATGAACTTTCAAGGGAAAATTATGTTTGCTAACAACAAGTTGTATCAGGAAAACAAGCCTGTGACTTAAACTATAGCAGTGCAGAAATTTCATGAAACCTATCACCGAATGTTCAATGTGAAAAACATTGTAAAGTTGATATTAAGAAGTACCTTCAGTTCAAATGACTTCAGATCCCTAGCAAGCTGCTCTGCATTTATCCCCTCTCGAGCAAGGAGCCTGTCCATGCAAAAGAAATAAGAAAAATGATCACAATAATTGACCAAGTTCATTTAATCACAAAATTTCTGCTTTAAGGAAATTATTTTGGGAAGTAAGAAGATGATCTCCATTTTCCCTGGTAAGAAAATGTGAAATTAAAGGGATGCCGCTTTAAAAAAGGGCTAGAGGGAGACCAAAAGAGCGTGGTGTGAAGGGAAGTGAGAAATGGGATACTGTTTTGGAGGGTTTAAGCTAACCATGGGACGCCTCATGAATGCATGATACAAGATTAAGTTTGGGAAAAATGAAAATCTAAAATCCAAGAAGCCAACACCATTTGGTAGAAACAATGCTTGGCCAAAAATTAAAAATTTTTGTAAGTTCTAACAACTCAAAGAACTCCAGATAGCCACAACATCATTTGATATTTTTTATAATGTTTAAATTCTACATGATTGAATAATTCAGACATAATAAAAAAACTTGCAGCACTGGCAATCATAATTCATAACCAAAGAGTACCTTGTTGCAGCAATAGATTGCGAAGGTGCTTCAGTCCTTACGGTCTTGGATTTAAGCTTCTTGGATAACGCTTCCAGTTGATCCAAGTTCCTCTGAACAATGTAAAAAGGTGAATTCAAAACCAGAGATCTCGAAAGCCATATCTAATCAACAGTAATTCCTATTCTTCTAACTAGTGACAATTCTCACTGACAGAAAGAAGCAATGCTCATCCATTATCTCGGTCAAATTGAAGCTATCATTGCCTCGGTTCACAACCGAAATACACTCACACTCAGCTTCCAACTTCATTTTATGCATTCATAAAACTTAAACGTGGCGAAAATTTTCGTAGCAGTTAAAATAAAAGAGTGAAAAAAATGCTTGGAAGAAAATGAAGTATGTGGAAAACGAAGAACACAAGTTGAATCGGTGGCATTGAAATGAAATTGAGAAATGGAGAATGAAAATGAAATAGTGTGAAGTGTGTGTGGGTTTGGAAGAGAAGGAAACCTGAAGGGGAGGGAACTGAGCAGAAGGAGCAGCTTGTTCGAGAAGCTTGGTTGACGAATGTAGGAGATCGGTCCAACTTTCGTTCGCCATGGCTCGCAAGAACAAGAACAAGGGTTTTAGTTTTACAGACACAAACGTTCTTAAGCCCTAAAATTTGAAAACTCAGGTTGGGTTCTGCACAACGGAGATGCACCCTAACCAACGGGTTGTTTCAGACCAAATATACCAATTTATAGTTATGTATTATCATAATAATTTTTACGTAACTTTAGTTCTTTTCTTTACCTAAAGTTAAAAGTTTAAATCCTGTTTTGTGTATGTAGTTGCGTTAAATTTTGGGGCCAGTTATCTCACTCTTTGAGGTGCTTTTATTGTTATCAGCCCTAATCCAGAGACGATTAAAAAGATAATAATAATTTTTACACAAAAGTAATTATTATAAAATTAAATAATTTTATCATATAGTAGTTAGTATAATTAAATTATATTAATTGTTGAAGAGAAATTTGGTCTCTACACTTTATACGGAAAAGATTTACATTTAATTTCTATGTGAAAAATATTTATGAATTGATTATCTTATAAAAAAATACCAATGATTTTAGTCAATGATGAAAATTAACCTTTTAACTTATACACACAATATGTTATTCTTTGTTTTAATCTTTATATGAAAAAATTAGCATCATTATAATTTTAATAAATGGTAGGAATAAATTATAAATAGTTTATAGATCAAAGATAAATATAAAACTTTTCATGTAATGAAATACCAAATTACAGTCAACCATTAACCTACTGTAAGGGCAATGACTTAGTGTTGGAAGGGGGAACAAATTAAAAAAGAAAATCCAAATATTCTTGAATATTTTTTATTTTAATTATATATTTATTTAATTTTCTAGATGGTGAAGTATGGATGAACCAAAAGACAAGATCTTTGATGATGCAACACAAGTGAACCAAGAAAAATAATGGTGTTTGTTTACTTATAAATATTCTTAGATCCAAGTCATTAAACATTTCAATAGAGTATTATTATGGTAAAAAGAGGTTGTTTCAACACCCAAAGATAATATTATTCATATAAAAATAGGGTACTAAAAAAATATATGAAATTTGTAAAATTACATTGGAGTTTAATAAGATATTACATACATAAAATGTTTTTAAGAATTTAAAGTGTAAATGTTTCAATTTATATGAAATCCTATATCATAAATAAGGTAATATATTGATAAGAGTTGTACACTTATGTTGATTAAGTATTGAATCGACGAGTCAAAATAAGTGTTAGATGATGATTGAAGTAATCGTAAGTCTTAACTTGAAATTTTTTTACATAATTGGTCTACTTATCAAAAAATATTTTTATATTTGTATTGATTTGATTGTGTTTTGAAATATGTCTGTCATAACATATATAAATAGATTAAAATTAGTATTTTAACCATTACAATATATAGGATTTATATATATATATATATATATAACTATAGTTTTTAATAAATAAATACTTTAAATGTATAAATTTAATTTTTATTAAAATTATATCATATAAATTATATTTAAAATTTATGATAAATAATTTATATTAGATATATGAATACTTTTAACGGTTGACAATTTTTTTTAAAGATAATATTGAGATAAACTCTTAAAAAAACTATCATTAATAAATAAAATAAAAAGCGTTCTCATTTAATAATGATCTCTAAAAACACGTTAGTTTAAGATACTTGTACTCATTAAAACTTATATACATAGATAAATTACTATCTCCTTTTGCACGTTTCGTTTCTTATATATAAACTAAAATGTGGTGTGATTAAAATGTAGGTTAAAACCTTTATTTAGTTCCTAATAACATTTTTTGTTTCAATTTAGTCTTATTTTAATTTTTAGTTTTAATTTGATCCTCAATAATTTAAATTATTGTAATTTGGGATTTCCGTCCAAATAATTTAAACGGAGTTAACTGTTGGCCACATAGATGCCAGGTGGATGCCACGTAGATGTCACGTAGATGAGGCCAAATTTCTTGAATTAACCTGGAATGAGCCGTTCCAGATACAAAATTAACACACCAATAGTACAACCAGAATGGGCCGTTCTGGTTTCAGAATAGGCCGTTCTAGTTTCAGAATGGTCGATAATTATAGTCCACGGTTATAAATCGTACACGGAAAAAGACCCAAGGTACAAAACATTTCAAATACTAGATTTGGTAATATTGTCAATAGGGATTGATAACTTCAATTGTTAAACATTTGGGTTATACAGTGTATCATTAAGGACGATGTGGTGTATCACTAAGGACAATGGTAAGAGGTTTTATTTTATTGTTAGTCAAATTGGAGTGAACCACTTACTTCCAAATTGACACTATATAGTCAAAGATGAAATGAAACGGTGTTTTCCCTTGAAGTCATTGACGATGTACCCCAACAATAACAACCTGTTCTTGAGGAGGTACAACCTGAATTTTTGAGGTTTAGAGTTTCCCTTCAGCGTTACCCAGATGATTTCCTTTCTCAGTAATTTCTTTAAACTTTTTTAGTATATGTTCTGTTCTGAATTTTTGTTTTCAGTTTCTGAACATGTTTCTGTCTTTGAATTTATGATATGTTATGAATTTTGAATTTCAATTTTTGAATCACATTGTGTAAAATGAAGTTGGCGTTCTGGAACGGGCCGTTCTGAATCCAGAACGTCCCGTTCTGAAACCAGAGCGACCCGTTCTAGTTTTAGAAAGGCTCGTTCTGGTGCACTCATGGTGTGTTAAATTTGCATTTGGAACGACCCGTTTCAGTTGTAAAATTAACACATAACATGTACAAGCAGAACGGTCCGTTCTGGTTTCAGAACGGGTCATTCTGGTTCCATGTGTATGCATTCAATTTGGCAGTCACGTATGCATCTACGTGACATTCACCTGGTATTCACGTGGCCAATAATTAACTCCGTTTAAATCATTTGGACGGAAGTCCCAACTTGCAATAATTTAAATTAGTGGGGACCAAATTAAAATTAAAAATTAAAATGAGACTAAATTAAAACAAAAAAAATATTATAAAGGACCAAAATAAGGTTTTAACCTAAAATGTATCAGTCTCTTATTAATTAATTTTTTCATTCAAATGTCTTATATTCACAAATATGTTAAAACAAATTTTTATTTCAATGTAAACTATCAACGTGTAATAGATTTTCAAATCAAAAAATTTATAGTTTAGATAACATTTTTATATTTTTAGTAAAATATATTTTTTTGTTGTGTTAATGTTTTGCGACAAATCTTCTCTATTTATTATTATTATTATTATTATTATTATTCTTATTCTTATTATTATTATTATTATTATTATTATTATTATTTTGCTGAATCAAATCTTCTGTATTTATATTCTTAAAAATGTCATCTTTGCTTTAAATTTTATTCCCCCTCAAATCACTGTTCCAACTCTATATATTAAATTAGATTATAATATACTGTTTTCAAAAATGACCTTTCAGTCTATTAGTCCGTGAAAATGGCACCTATTATTTCAAGAAAATGACACCTGTCATCTCAACTTTCTTCTCTTTTAATTTTAATTTTTTTAAAATTAATCATGGATATGGGCATATGGCTTAGAATTTGGATTCAAAACTCAACTTGGCAAAATCAATTAACTTACAAAATAAGAAATATCTAAGTTTATAAACCCTATTTAAGTTGTATCTCTAATTAATATATATAGAACTAGACATTGTTGTATTTAATTTATAGCATTTCAAATGGGTAACAAGTTTTATGGCATTTTTAATGGAAGCAACTCATTTGAGTTGTTTCATAAATTGAAAAATGAAAAAAGTAATCCCCAGTGTATCTTGTCAGCATTAAACAACTTAAATACAAATTTACTTCAATAGTAAGAAATTTTAAGAAATTCAACTTTTAGAATTTTTTTCTAATCATTTATGAACTAAATTTAAATTTTTATTAAAAAGGATAATTGTACTATAATGAAAAAAAACAAATTACAAGAAAAAATACACAATAAGTAGATATTAAAAATAAAATAAAGCAATAGTAAATACATAAACATTATACGAAATTAACTCTCATCATTATTACTTCCGAAACGTTCCTAAATATGTTCAATAAGATATGTTTGAAATCTGGTAAAAATCTGGTAAGGAACGGTTGCTTAAAGAAGCAACTCTCTCTTTTCTTTAAGCAACTCATGTTGTCATGCCAGATTCCTCCAATGACAAGAAACCGAGGCTTGAGTTATTTTATGGGACAAACAACTTCCATTGAAGTTGCTCTTACGCCACCTAATTTTATTTTTATTCACCTATTAATTTATATATTAATATGTGACATAGACATAGAAAGAGTACATTACCCAAAAAAAAAAATACAAAGGAAAGAGTAGTTATAAATGTGGACCAATTGATTTATTATATGTAAATCTATCAATTTACTCTCTGTGTGGTGATAACGAGCTTCTCCTCGCAACGTGCCTTACACGTCTCAAGCGTGACTACAATTAAAGCATGTTTGAGTTTAATTTTATGTTAAAAAAAATATTTTTAATGTTTATTTTGAGAAATTACCTGAAGTTGACATACTAATGTAATGCACAAAATGCTTGTTTGTTGTCAGTGTTTTTTTTCTTCTTATTTGTAGATTATTAAATGTATGCTATTAACGTTAAAATAATTTAAAAAGTTTAAATTAGTTGAGATGAATATCATCTAAAACTTCCTTTTTCTTGCTTCTGCTGCTTTTTAAGAAAAAGTTTATCCAAAAATGTAAAAATTACTCGTAGGTAAGTGAATACTTCATTTGAAAAAGTGTTTTTTTCTTCTTCTGAAAATAAAAATTTAAAGAAATATACGATAATCAACTTGGTGGGTTGGAAAGGATTACGGCTACCACAACTTTATTTGATCAAATTTCTAATTTGATAATTACCTCTTCTTTTTTTACTATCAAACAAGTGAGTTAAATGATACAAATTAACATGATTAATGAATAGTTTCAATAAATAAATAATTTGTCTCCTTTGTATCAATTATGAAATATATACGAATCATAAACGTGGCTAGTTTTAATTACCAATTACGTATGCCACAGATATGGAAGCGTTCTTGAAGATATTTGCTGACCAAATCAAATTTAAATGCATATATATTAGTATTGTTATTTGTT